AAAAATAGAAAATTTCCACAGAATGTTTTGTTGTATTGTTCAGTAAAACTGAATGAATCAAGAAGGAATTTCCAAATAAACTACAAGAATGACCAGGGCCAAAAATGAATACACTTGATTCTCTTCAATAAATAGAAATACTATCTCTATGAACATGAACTTGAAGTCATATTCAGTACCAAAAATGAATAAACCTTATTCTTTATAGAAATAATATGCCTATGAGAATGAACTTGAAGTCATATCCAGTGCCAAAAATGAATAAACCTTATTCTCTTCAAACAATTAAGGAATAAATAATGATACGCCATTCAATATGGTGAAATTCAGCACGAGTTGGACAGAATGTTGTACAAAGCACGAACCGAAGGTGAGTGCATTTGTACTAACATTCTGTCCAACGAGTGCTGAATTTCACCATATTGAATGGCCTATCATTATTTATTCCGATTCAAACATAAAAATTAGTAAAAGCCGTGTCTGTGGAACGGGCATGAAGGAAGAATACGCATGTTGTCAAGATTCTGAAGTCGGCCGGAAAAATTTTAGAATTTGTTTGGGCTGTTCTATTTTAATCCCCGTTTTAGATTTTATACGGTGTATGCAATACGGTGTCAGCCATAGTTAAATAGTTACAGTAGTTACGGAGGGAGTAAAAAAGAACAGCTACATGTATCCCCGGACAGAGCCCCAGATGTGCAGCTGAGATGTGACGTCACTCAAAACAATGCAAATTGCAGATTGAATAGAGCATGGTCGTGCATCTATGGAGAATTAGAGAACGTTCTATATTGGCTATGCTGCATTCTGATTGGTTGAGAAATTCGAATAGAGCACGGTCATGTTTGAATAAGAATGTAATATGTCAATGAACTCTGAATATAAATTATCCATTGGTTTCTGAGCTTCTTGAGTGTTTAAATGAAAGTCTAATACATTATAAACGCAGTTCTGCATCGCTCATTTTTAAATAAATCACCGGGTATATATATTCTTGGTATTATATTTGCGATTGGAAGTAGTGTTTGTTTGATTTTCAGAAATTGGAACTGCCTGTGTTTCCTGAACAACACTAGTGGGAATATATAGGCTAATCTCACACCATCCTCCGATCACAGGGCTTCAAAATCCAGAATGTATTCGAGGTACGGATTCTGGACACCTGCTTAGGAGGATGATCTCACACCAAATTACATAGTAGTCCAATTTTATGTTATCTTGTATATTGTTTTGCATTTTAATGTCAACATATGGATTAACTCCACTATCAATAATACGATTAAGCATCTGATAGGGGCATATAAAATAGTCAACCACTGATTTCCCTTTAGTTGATATACTTGTAAAATTATCACTTTTTGGGTTAATTCTTCCATTTAGTACAGATTGGCAGCTGTCTTTTAAGAATTCAACCAGGTATTTGCCAAAGGTATTCAATGTAGAGTCAATGGGGATTCTTTCTGGAATTGAGTCAATGTTTTTATCAAAGTGAGGTTGTTTTCCTATTCTTGCGTTAAGGTGCTATGGAAGTTAACAGGAAATGGCAAAACAGGAAGTGACAATTTTTTTTGTATTTTTGACATTTTTTGAACAAAGATAACAGAGTTCTGTTTTGACCTCCAGTCAATTCAACTAGTTCCAAATACCATTTACAGGTCCAGGATCACAATGTTCATGATCAGAATGACCCTAAACATGATGAAATAACCTTTTCAGCCCAATGAAAATGTGACTAAAAAATAGCTAAAAGTAGGTGCTCAGGAAAGGCCAATGAACAGGATCTTGTGATTTTTTCAGTAAATGTGTCCAATGTATTGCTCTAAATGATACAATCTTAGATATCATTCATAGGAAAAGAAAAAAAATGAAAAAACTGATTTGAAAAGCGATCTATTTTCCTTTTTATGACCGCCATTTTTGTTTAAGACAATTTATTAAAATTTCAAAGATTGTATCAGTTAGAGCATTATATTGGGCACATTTTCTGAAAAATTCAAAAGATTCTGTTCAGTGACCTTCCCTAGCTGAGTGAATCATTTTCATCCTCCTTACTTATCACTTTTATCCACAGTATCCCTTCAAATGTTGAATTTAAAGTTTGGATATCGAAATATTTCACCAGAGCTGTTTTAATTAACACACCTACACCACCAGAGCCAGATTTAGCGATAGATTTGTTCTGTTTTGTTTTGTCCAATCTATGTAAATCCTGGGATCTGTATTTCTTGAGTTTGTCTCAAGTAGGTGTCACAAACAGCAATTATATCATAATTTAATTGTTCAATTATCTGTTTACGTGTATGACTATCATGTTCATTACATTTTGTTGGCCATTCATTAATATTCCATTGTCCTATTTTAACCTTTAAGGGCTGGGTGTGGTCCTATTCAGCATTATATCTGCTACCCCTGCCTCTAGATAATCCTCTCGCTCTCTGATACCCTCTCCCTCCACGCAGTGGTCTGGCTGGCTGCCAATCATCCTGTGCTGTATTGCTATTCCATCCATCATTTGTTGCAGATCCTTATGCCATTCAGTTGATTGTGACATCTTTTTAACATAGTCTAACATTTCCTGTGATCATATATCCCTCTCTACCTGGTACACATTTGAGCAAATTATTAAGTAGCATTTGATAAGTTATTGAACATTGTAAAGTAGCATTTTTTTATTAGTTAATTAATTTTTTTTATACTTGGTATGATGGGAATATCTTGCTATAAAACTATTTGTTTAGCCCAACATTTGGCAACCTGCCCCAAAGTATTCGCTTGGTGGCGAGCTTTGAGCCCATAAGCCATATAAGAATTTGTTAAAAGCACAAAAGTTTGAGACTTAAAGATTCTCGCAATCTTTATCCAATCAGCGTTTGCGATGTGTATCGGCTCACGTAGAAAAGGCGAATCCAACTCAAATCCATGCAGGGGTGTATGAGGTACTCGAATAGGAAAAAGCTGGTGAAATCTGAATTTATATGCACATGGTCAATGTTTACACATGTTTGGAGTTATTGAAGAAAATGTGATATGGGTGTGGTTCCGGAATTGAAGTCATTGCTGGAAAATATGATTTTAATACGTGAAATTATATCTATAAATACAGCAGTAAAAATAATAGTACACATGAAGTACATGTATGATTGTGTCCAGAAATGTTTGAAACCCTTACAGAAAATTCTGTCACCATTTTGTCACCATTGCTCTTTCTTTCCGCATTCTAGTGCTGTTTGAATGAATGTATTAATTAATGTATTTCTAGCTAAAATATATCACATTTTATAAACCACAAACATTTAGATCATAAAAAAATTATTCAATACTTGAGTGAGCACGATATGCAAGGGTTACTAAGTTGACACAGTAAATGACCACTGATATTGTGTTAGTCCATGCACACAGCGTATTCTGCTAATACACATTTCACGGTGTATAACCCAAACGCTCCTACATGCACGACGGAGCGTTTCATTACTGAAATGAAACAAAGAAACGCTCCGGAGTAGGAAAACTGACTGGCGGGAATGATGAGCCGTCTGACGATTTCCCCAATAATGGGAATAAGAGGTATGAGTTACATATTTCGAGTATACCATTCGATAGGTGTGATATTCATGTTGTGATATCAAAATTCAAAAACGTATTTGTCATTCTACCGGTCAAAACCCCTTTTGTCGATACATGTGATTAGTTGAGCTAAGATTAGAGCACCAACGTATATTTTACTCAAATTCCAATGCTTCAACGCACCATACAATATCGTAATAGTGATTTGATGACCGAAAATCCAGTCTTAAAAATGATGACATTCTCATATTCAAGAAACGCTCCAATCTACTTAACACAGTGAACTGGAAACGCTCCGGTAGTCTAGATCAGTTTAGGAAATATATAGCTTGCCTTTTCTTTTCAGGAAGAGAAAGAAAAGATCTATTATACCCCTTGGCATCAATAGAAGAAAGATTAATTCACATTTTTCTATAGTTTTATGATTTAGCACATATGTAGGCATGACATCATCTAGTAGGCTTAAATCAGCTAGTTGCACGTTTAGCACCACCAGGTTCAGATGTTTCAATTTGCCTAACAAGTACAACACGTTTTTGAGAGATAGATTCGATTCGAAACTCTTCTCTGATAATCTGAAAATTATATCAAAACAAAATGGTAAGAGCGTTTCTAAAATTGTTTTCTAAATCGACGGAGTGTTTCGAGGAAAACAAGCGATTTCTCGAGAACAAGTAATGGATTTGGACTGGGATTTTAGGAAATGAGAAAATACGAGTTTGTGATCTACTACTTTAACAGAAAGATTAACGTTTTCATAGAAATACTAGTTTAATTCGTAATTTGTGGTCAAATCGTCATCTTCAGATTCGTTCGATCTACACTACGGAGCTTTGATCAAGCAAATAACAGTTTACCACCAGAAGTTGAATAAATCAGATCTTTGCTCACGGTATTGTTCATCGAATGGTACATAATATTAACGAGAGGAACAATACCTACGGTCTTAGTGGAATCTTCATTAGCCGCAATTTTATTTCACTCCGGAGCGTTTCCGCGTAAATGAAACGCTCCGTTGTGCATGTAGGAGCGTTTAGGTTATACACTATGCATTTGCTAACACCCCCCACTTTCATAGTGAAGTGACTAATTGGTTTATGTTTACGTTTTAATGTGTTTTGGGTTCTTTGTTACAGCAAGGGGGGCCAGTAAAGTAGACTAACATGTTTGCATGGCAAATTTTGATCGAATATGTGAGACACTTTAAGCAATATGTCATCACTGCAATTAAAGCCACATAAAAAATATGAAATTGTATTATATATTTACAATATATTCATTTTATACAGTATGCACAAAATATACAATTTTTATGTATAAATATTCACAAAATACATGTAAATTATGTCAATCTGAAATACATATTTATGTAGATTATGGCTTAATGATCATAATCACTCCATAGCCAGCCTTAACCAAGTGGGATTCACTTTTTGAAAAATTCCAGGGGGGTTCACTTGCGACAACTTTGCCCCAAAAATGGCCAATATCACTGGAAAAGTGAAAGTAGTTCAAAAACATTCCTGTTTCGACAAGATGGGACACAGTACGCAGCATTTCATTTCATTTATCTGAATACATGTAGTTTAAATGACTGTCACTAGATGGCATAAAATTGAAAAATGAAAATTCAATTCAGTGTAAAAATTATTTCAAATGTCGGACAAAGTGAGCCATATGATATGTATGGTAGTTCTATGAACTTGATGCATATTTAAGTTCAAAGCACCCAGTCAATATCAGGGCTTGAGTGAAGATCTAAAATAGGTAAGAAAATAAATATTTGACACTTTGAATGCATCGACGGCTACTTAAATTTCACTTTCAAATGAAAAAATGCCAAAATTGTTATTTTTGTAAAACTTTGCCTGACTAGACAAACGAATAAACCTGTATTATTCAGTTTGAAAGAATTCTCCAAAGTCAAATCCTTGTTTGCCATCCTCATCTTCATCAGAGTCAGAGACAGCCAGGTCATTGTTAAGTTCTGTGCTATGCTCACCCTGCATGGCTGGTGCTAATGCAGAGCTTTGGAAGAATGCAGAAGGATCAAAGCTATCATTACTGTCCTCCACCTGCGGCGGGTTGAACTGTGATTGGCTGGAAGTGCCATAGGAGGCGGGGTCAATAAATGTGTATGTTTCCTGCTGCTCCTCTCCTGCAAAATGAAATTACTGAGATCAACAATTTTCATATGAATAAGAAACAACAGAGAGGCGTGAACTTGATGTGCCAACAGCCTAGACCTTAGACACTTCCAGTGGTCAGAAAATGGGATGAAGGAGGGAGCAGGGGGAGCAGGCTCATTATGAAAGGTTGATAACAATTTTGTAGAAGTACTTGGCTAGCTGAAGAATCAACAAGGCATTAACATGACAAACAAGAGAGGTTAAGCTACACATATTTAACAAAACTTGAATGTGAACTTCAATGCGTGCGCAGATAAATGACGTCAGATTTGTTTATTTTCTGTGGGCCAGCGTGAAGTTTACAGGTTTTTACATGAGATTATCATATTGGTGCAATTTACAGACGCGTATTCAACAAAGCATGAACGTGAACTTCTATGCGCGCACAGAAAAATGACGTCAGATTAGTCTACTTTCTATAGGTAAGCGTGAAAGTTACAGGTACGTGTAGATGAGCTTTTACACGTCACTCATTACGTGATTGATTTTAGCTATGTTCTAGGATGACCCAGGAGCCCATATTTGAGGTAGTCCTAGTAGTGCATTAAGGTAATCCTGACTTTATTTTCAAAAAACTTTTGTCTCATAAAAATTCATATGTAGCAAAGTTCATTGATCATTCATTCAAAAAACTGGATTAATATTGTGACAATGATACATCACACTGATGTTTTAAATTCTATCATGTCGTATTAGTATTTTACAACTATCTCATATTTTTATATTTTACATTTTGTGATGCTGTAATTGTATTTTACAACTTTGTATATTTTCTATAAAGCAGTTAGTTTAGCCTAAGTTTAATTTTGTAATTGTATATTGTAGTTTGTAGTGACTAATATGTCATTGCAATGAGATCAGAGAGTCAATAAAAGAAATATATTTGATACAGATACTCTTGCTTGTTATATTGGTAAACCCCAATTCTTAATTGGAAATAAGAATACATTTTAATGGGTAAATGACAACTTCAAATGTGATAGTTTTGTTTCATTCTGAACAGTATAAATAAGCAGGGGTAATTCAATACCTGCAAATAAAGGCATATGGGTGCATTGTAATGTGTGATGACCCGAGGGCGCCCAAGGGGAATAACTAACAACCGCGAGCATAGGTCCAACCAGCCAGATAAAGAAATTGAAAGAAAGTGTATTCAATTCGATGCCCCGAGTGGGAATTATATACTGTTATATAAATATACTGTTCTATAATATACAATTATTTCACTGTTCAGATATAATATCAGTATGTTTTTAGAGTAAGCATTTTAAGTTGACTAGAATAAATATCTATTAAGCAGATGTTTTGGTCATTTCAGACCCTCTCAATATTGAATTTCCTTTTTTGCCACATTTTAAATAGAGTTGAAGCCAATAAATTTTGGATGTTATTGTCATGCATAAGACTGATCAGTGTACCCAGGCTATCATTTGAGTTAATGTTTATATGGGGGGCTGTTTTTGTTATAAAACACTTTCCTTATGTCCTTATAATGTTCACATTGAGTCAAAAAGTGTATCTCATCCTCAATACAATCATTATCACAGAGAATACATTTTCGTTCTTGCAGTGGTGTGTTGTTCCATCTACCTGTCTCTACATTTAAGTGGAGACTTCCTGTTCGGAACTGAGCAAGTATTCTCCTGTGTTGTCTGGGCATTCTGTTTTTTAAGCACTGTTCAGTCACCACACCATATTTAAATTGGCGGAATGTCCTAAGTTTGTTTCCATTTGATTCATTATTTTTGCATCCCATATGTTGGTTAGGAAAGTGTCATTTTGATTCAGGTGATGTTTCAGTGTATTAAGAGATAGTTTGGTTGAGACGTTTGTGCCATTTGTTATTGGGACTCCTCCTTTAACTCATAACTGCTGTGTTTTATAGTCCCGGCTAGACTATCTCTTTGCAGACCATAAATGTATTTTGTGATTTGTCCTGGTTCTATCCATATTGTGAAGCCTCAAGTAAAGTCTAGCACACTCAATGTTGCTTATCGAGGAGAGATGACCAACCTAGGTCTCCCCTTACTGCCTCATTGCTAGTTTTTGGGCTCACCCCCAGGAACATCTTGCCTGCTCGGTTTCGGATGTTGTTCAGAGGTTTACGTTCATGTAGACCCACTATAGAACAGCCGTAATTAATTATGGGCTGGACTAAGTTATCATACAGTTTGTTAAATACATCGTAGTCCATACCTCCAATCGCCGTGGCTTTACTGGTAATTACCCCGAGAGCTCTGCTGGCTGATTTAGCTAGTTCCTTGACAGTTATGTTGGTGTCTACATTTTCATGAAGCCATATTCCCAAATACTTGTACCTTTCAGCATACTCAATGTTCATAGTCCCACAATGAAATACTGCATTTGATCTTGGACAAGCCTGTGGGCGATAATCTACCACTTTATACTAATGCGCCATTTGTAGCACCATTCATTAACCACATTGAGCATACGTTGCAGATTAGTTGGGGAATCTGCAATCAAGACAATGTCATCTGCATACAAGGGGACAGATACATCTGTGCTATCAAAATCAATTTTGATACCACAGTTCACATCAGTTGCCAAGTCATTGATATAGATGGCGAACAGGGACGGAGACAAAACGCAACCCTCCTTACATCCTTTCTCTATGCTGAACATTGGTGTTAAATGGCTGTTAATTCTAACTAAAGAAGATACATCTTGATAGAGGGAACTAATAGCAGTAAATATCTTGCTTTTTATGCCAATTTTGTTAAGTTTGTACCACAGACAGTCCCTGTTTAATTCAAGATATTTGGACAGTCTCTTATTAAGCCTGTCACAGTAGACTTTACATGGAATTGAAATCAATGTTATGGCTCTATAATGTAGGGGATTTCTGTTATCACCCTCTTTAAAAATGGGATTTATTATCCCAACCATCCACTGATCTGGCACTATTCCATGACTAAAGCATTCAGCTATTATTTTGTGTAAAAGTAGGATACAATTGTGTGACTTTAGTACCTCTGCTGGTATACCATCAATTCCAACTGCCTTGCATATTTTAGCATGCACTACTGCATCTCCCACTTCCTCTAGTGATATAGGGCTATTTAACATTTCATTTGTGTAAGGGTCAGGGTTATTGTCCATGCTATTAACTTCTAGCTTAATCTGCTGCAAGTGTTCATTATCATACTTAGGGTCATTAATGTTTTCAGCATATAGGGATCCATATATTTCAGCCCAGCTATCCAGTGTTTCCGTGTTGACCACTTTTGATATTATCTTCAGAGTTAATAGTCGAATATGATATATCTTTTGTGCGTTCATTGGCGATTCCAATTTTTCCTATTTTCTGCCAGAAATTTCTGGAATTACTTTGATTATACAGACCTAATAGGTTTTGTTGTTCCTTCAGTTGATATGACCTTTTGCATTTCCTTAGAAGCTTATCAAAGTGTCTCCTTTCAATACAATATGCAGCTTTCAAATGGTGACATTGACCAGTGTCCCTGCATTTCAGCCATATAGATTCAGCTTCTTTGGATTTATTCCACTGAGTTTGAAGATCATTATTCCAATAGGGTTTTTTAAAACTTTTGGCATTTCCATATTTAGATTTCACTTTAATAGGTTCAAATACACGGTCCATTTCTCCATTTAATACAGCAACAAATTCTCCATAGATTGTATTAATTTTTTCCCTCATTGAAGCATCTGATTCTATTAGATTAATTGCATCTTTGACTTTATTCACAAGATTGATGTCCTGTAGAAAATCTTGTGGGGGACATTTTACTTTATATTGCTTAGTGCCATGGGTACTGGGTACTGGGTACACTGCCAGCTTCAAACAGATTTGTAATTTTGGTAATTGGCTTGAATTTAAAAACACATTGAACTATTGAATGATCTGGAATATGTTGAGGAACACTGAGATTAAATTGCTGAATAATGTCTGACATTTTAAGGACTTTCCAGTCACTGAAATCTGTAAGTTGTTCATGAGTAGTACAGATGTAATCGACAACAGACTTTCCTTTTGTGGAAATGCATGTCCAATCGTCATGGCCTGATGTGCAACCATTGAGGGTACATATGTTTGTATCAACCAGAAAGTTCGTAAAATAGTCACCAAATGCATTATCGGTGTAGTCAATGACAGCTCTTGAGGGGATGTTATCCACACCTTCAATATAATCATTGGCGCATCCCAATCTAGAGTTGAAGTCACCAAGGATACATATGGAACCCTCATTCTGGTAGGAATACACTCCTTGTATGAGGTTATTGAAAAAAGTCTGTGGGTCATTATTTCTAGTACATCTCGATAGAGGAGGTAAATAGCAGCTACATAAGTTAATTGAAATATCAGAATTCTTTGCGGATAGATTTAGCCATAGAATGTCTTGGTCAGATCTGTCAAGCACCTGGCAGTCAAAGTCATTTAAAACATCATTTTTAACCAGGATACCAACACCACCTGCCCCTCTACGTGCATTAGCATGCATATTAGTTCTGTTGTTACCTAACCATGTATAGCCATCTATCTTCAAGCCTTCATCATTGCGTAGTCAGATTTAAACTGTTGAGAACTTGTAGATGGTTTTGAAAATTTTTTTGGTCAATTTGAAGCAAGTTGAAAAAAGACCTTTTTGACCTTTTTTGACCTTCTGATAACTTGTAGATGATTTCGATGATGATTTTTATAACATTCCTAGTTATATTTGAAAAGAATATTTACATTTTCATGAGTTTTGACGCATAATTACCCCCTGCTGGGTCAAAATAAGTATCCTAACAGAAAACAAATAATCATCAGTTAAAGACCCATGAAGAATTAAAAAGAAAATCATGTTTTTAAATATAATTTAGGATTTAATTTTTTCAAATTTTTGAATTTCCCGCCAATTTAATTTGAAGGGGGAAAAACAAGATGGCTGCCATTTGATGTGAGAAATATCAGAAAAGAAGTTGCTTCACTTTTGATTTTTACACG